ATGAAAAACAGACGTAACCAACCTAGCCAAACAAACCTACCTAACTGCCCCCCGGACCCCCTGGTGTATTAAATAGAAAGAACATACTTTGATATGGTTTAATTTGAGGCTTTTTCTGGACGTGAGATCGTGCGACTGCATCGGCGCTTATGCAGCCCGGGCGGCGGAGTGATTTATTGTGATGGCAGGAAATGTCGCGCCACGGCGTAAAGGAAGTGATGAACAAATTTCTTTCCGGTCTGAATGCACAGGTATTCCCGCAGTGTGGACAGTCTCTGTTTAAAAGAAGAACGCCGTTTGAACAACTGAAGGGTCTCGTTGTTTTTATCCCTAAATTCGCAAATTACGTCCACATAAGACAGAAGACAACCTTCACACGTCCTGCTGAAAATGAAACTGCCGTGTGCCCAGGGAAAAGCGCCTCAGCAGAGCGCAGCCCCATTACCGCTGGGAAGACAAATTAGTGTGCGCCTAGGCGCCTAATTATCTACAAAACGAAAAATTAGCACAAGAAATGATTACCATATCAGAACACACTGATGGAAAATAAAGTAAGAATATAAACAGTAATGCAAATAACTCGTCCGTGCAGGTTAGTATATATATTAACCCAAATGCCAGTATTCTTGCTGACACCAACTGTAGAAGCATTGAGGCTACCATTATCCATGAACAACTACGCTGGACTGGCCATGTTACCCGCATGGACGACAGTAGACTGCCATAGCAGCTACTTTACAGTCACATAACGAATAGTAAACGTAACGCTGGCGGGCAACTGAAAAGGTATAAGGATAGTCTTAAGAGAAACCTGAGAAACTGCCAAATCGACCCCCTCACCTGGGAGACGATGACTCCACACCGTAATGTTTGGAAGATCACCACACAATGTGTCAATACTTTCAAGTTAGCCCGACTGCATAACAAGGCAGACAAGCGCCGACGCCGGAAAGACGCTGCCGCCGCCCTTCCTGCACTTGATGTAGCCCCCAAATGGACAACAACTGTGATCGACCCTGCCGGTCCCGTATCGCCCTCTTTTAGTCACCTCAGAACTCACCAACCTAGGTGACATCCTTAATAACTCATATCAATGTATCATAGCTGCATGATTGTCATACTCGATTCCGAGAGACAGCAAAGTAGTAGATAAGGTTCACGTAAAATGTACAGTATTATGGTTATTTCATCCGTGAACAAGTCTTGAAGGGAAGAGCTATAGCTACAGTAGGAGTTGCAGGATAGGGGATATGGTATGTATGGTCGTGAGTATTTTCTAAGCCTTTACTTTTTTTTGCAGGTAAGTGACTTTAACAGCTCATCGAGGGACATTTGCACACCACTACACAGGTACGTTGGCTTATTTTTACGTCATAATTAATGATAATTTTTTCCAGCTACATAGAGGGACATTGCACACTTCAGGTATGTTGCCTTACTTTTACATTAATATCAATATTTTTTTCAGCTAAAGACCAATTAATGTATAATACATTGGCACTGACCACACGATAGTTGGTAGTATTCATCTGTTGGGCCTTAAGATGCAAGTACCCTTCCCTGGTCAGGGTCCTCCCCTCCCTAGTCTTAAGTATCAACCCCCACCACTATCCTCCATATCTCAGAGTCTCCATCCATACTCATAAGGCATCAAAGCCTCCCTCCTTCACTCGTGAGGCATCAATGCCTCACCCCTTACTCATGAGGCATCGAAGCCTCCCTACCTTAATCGTGAGGCATCAGAGCCTCCCTCCCTTACTCGTGAATCAAAGCCTTCCTCCCATACTCGTGAGGCAACAAAGCCTCCCTACCTTACTCGTGAGGCATCAAAGCCTTCCTCCCTTACTCGTGAGGCAACAAGGCCTTCCTACCATACTCGTGAGGCATCAAAGCCTTCCTCCCTTTCTCGTTAGGCAACAAAGCCTCCCTACCTTACTCGTGAGGCTTCGCAGCGTCCCTACCTTACTTGTGAGGCATCGAAGCCTCCCTCACTCGTGAGACATCAAACCCTTTTCCTTACTAGTGAGGCATCAAACCCTTTTCTTTACCATTGAGGAATTAAACCATCTCCCTTACCAGAGAGGCATCAAACCCTTTTCTTTACCATTGAGGAATTAAACCCTCTCCCTTACCAGCGAGGCATCAAACCCTCTCCCTTACTAGTGATGCATCAAAGCCTCTACCTTACTAGTGAGGCATCAAACCCTTTTCCTTACTAACGAGGCATCAAATCCTCTCTCTTACTAGTGAGGCATCAAACCCTTTTCCTTACTAGTGAGGCATCAAATCCTCTCTCTTACTAGTGAGGCATCAAACCCTTTTTCTTACTAATGAGGCATCAAAGCCTCTCCCTTACTAGTGAAGCATCAAAGTCTCTCCCTTACAGGTGAAGCATCAAAGTCTCTCCCTTACTAGTGAGGCATCAAAGTCTCTCCCTTACTAGTGAGGCATCAAAGTCTCTCCCTTACTAGTGAGGCATCAAATTCTCTACCTTACTAGTGAGGCATTAAACCCTCTTCCTTACTAATGAGGCATTAAACCCTCTCCCTTAATAGTGAGGCGTCCAAATTTCTACCTTACTGGTGAGGCATTAAAACCTCTCCCTTACTAGTGAGGCATAAATGCCTCTACCTTACTAGTGAGCCATTAAACCCTCTTCATTACTAGTGGGGCATTAAACCCTTTTCCTTACCAGTGAGGCATCAAACCCTCTACCTTACTAGTGAGGTATTAAACCCTCTCCCTTATTAGTGAAGCATCAAACCCTTTCCATACCAGTGAGGCATCAAACCCTCTCCCTTACTAGTGAGGCATTAAACCTTCTCCCTTAATAGTGAGGCATCAAACCCTTTTCCTTACCAGTGAGGCATCAAGCCCTCTCCCTTACTAGTAAGGCATCAAACCCTCTTCCTTGCTAGTGAATCAACAAAGCGTCTACCTTGTAGGGAGGCATCAAACCCTCTACCTTATTAGTGAGGCATCAAACCCTCTCATTACTAGTGAGGCATCAAACCCTCTTCCTTGCTAGTGAGGCATCAAAGCCTCTACCCTTACAAGTGAGGCATCAAACCCTTTCCTTACTAGTGAGGCCGTGAGGCATGTGAGGAATCAAAGTCTTTATCTTACCAGTGAGGCTTCAAACCCTCTACCTTACTAGTGAGGCATTAAACCCTCTCCTTACTAGTGAGGCATCAAACCCTTTCCTTACCAGTGAAGCATCAAACCCCTCCTTGCCAGTGAGGCATTAAACCCTCTCCTTTACTAGTGAGGCATCAAACCCTTTTCCTTACCAGTGAGGCATTAAACCTCTCCTTACTAGTAAGGCATCAAACCCTCTCCCTTACTAGTGAGGCAGCAAACCCTCTCCCTTACTAGTAAGGCATCAAACCCTCTCCCTTACTAGTGAGGCATCAAACCCTCTCCCTTACTAGTGAGGCATCAAACCCTCTCCCTTACTAGTAAGGCATCAAACCCTCTGCCTTAGTAGTGAGGCATCAAAGCCTCTGCCTTAGTAGTGAGGCATCAAAGCCTCTACCCTTACAAGTGAGGCATCAAACCCTCTTCCTTGCTAATAAGGTATCATAACCTTTCCCTTACTAGTGAGGCATCAAACCCTCTTCCTTGCTAGTGAGGCATCAAACCCTCTGCCTTAGTAGTGAGGCATCAAAGCCTCTACCCTTACAAGTGAGGCATCAAACCCTCTTCCTTGCTAGTGAGGCATCAAACCCTCTGCCTTACTAGTGAGACATCAAAGCCTCTACCCTTACAAGTGAGGCATCAAACCCTTTCCTTACTAGTGAGGCATCAAAACCCCTCCCTTAGTCGTGAGGCCTTGAAGTATTTTCCGTAATAGTGAGGCATTAAAGCCTCTACCTTACTAGTGAGGCATCAAACCCTTTTCCTTAATAGTGAGGCGTCAAACCATCTCCTTTACTAGTGAGGCATCAAAGCCTCTACCCTTACAAGTGAGGCATCAAACCCTCTCCCTTACTAATGCGGCATTAAGCCGTCTCCCTTAACAGTGAGGCATCAAACCCTCTCCCATACTAGTGAGGCATCAAACCCTCTACTCTTACTAGTGAGGCATCAAAACCCCTCCCTTAGTCGTGAGGCCTTGAAGTATCTTCCGTAATAGTGAGGCATTAAAGCCTCTACCTTACTAGTGAGGCGTCACACCATCTCCCTTACTATTGAGGCATCAATCCCTCTCCCTTACGAGTGAGGTATCAAGCCCTTTTTCTTACTAGTGAGGCACCAAAGCCTTTCCCTTACTCGTGAGGCAACAAAGCATATTCCTTACTAGTGAGGCACCAAATCCTCTCCCTTACTAGTGAGGCATCAAACCCTCTCCATTACTAGTGAGGCATCAATCCCTCTCCCTTACTAATGAGGCTTTAAGCCGTCTCCCTAAACAATGAGGCATTAAACCGTCTCCCTAAACAATGAGGCGTTAACCCCTCTCCCAGGTGCAATAGGATGCACCTGGTGTGTACCAACGGTAAGATTTCTTATCCCAACGGGATGAAGAAACTGCACTATTTGAGACTGAATGTGAGAAGGACCTAGGTGTGTATGTTGACAATGAGCTGAAGTTCTTGGGCCATTGCGATAAGAAGGTAATTCAGGCAAATAAATTATTGGGTCTTATAAGAAGGTCGTTCAGACATCTAGACGGCCCTTCCCTCGTAACGATCTTCAAGAGTAAAGTGCTTCCCCATCTGGAGTACTGTCACTCCGATCGCCCAAGCGGCTATCGAGCCGATTAGTGGTGAAGAGGATAAAAGTAAAAAGAAGAAAAAAGTAAAACAAAGGAAAAACAAATTTGTTTAAGTTACTCCTACATAAGGCTAAAGAAAACTGAAAACAATAAGAATATCATATTTCTAATATAAAAAGACTACAGATGATTCTACAGATATTTCTTCTTAATCTTAAGATTTTTCTCCAGATATTTTGCAGTAAATCTGCAGATATTTCAAATTTCTAATTGATCGTAAGTTCTATGGACTGAGGAGGTCTGGCACCACTCATGATGTAAACAAAACAACTTGCTCCATGCAGGGCTGAATCTTCTGATTTCGTGGTATTTCCATCCATAAGGCTTTATTAAGTACACCTTTGTGGTTGACAGTTAATATTGTACTCTGCTTCACAAAGAATAGCAAAGGGTTAAGGTGAGGATTTTATTTTCAACGAACAACAAAATTGAAGATGGATTTAGAAACCAGCGGGATAAAGAAAAAATTTAACAAAAGGAAATACCTTAAGAATAAACTTAAGACCAACTTCGGAAGCCGACAAGAAGGTACGTTAGAGTTTATTAGAAGTTGGGATCAATTTAAAGTTTGCACCGGTCATTCTTTCTCTGTTATTTATATGTAATTCTAAATCTTGACACAATTCTAAGACATTCTTCTTCTATGATATTTCCACCGGAAATTAAGGGTAACCGAGATATTAATTTTTCAATATTATTACAATCTCTTAGTCACAAGTTTCGCCCTGTCTTGTTTACTTTTGGCGGAGTAGGTAGTATTTAACCGGTCTTTATTTTTATATTAAAAATGGTAAGTTTTCACTAATTCACCGGTCTTTGTTACAATATTAAAAATATATTTTTCTGGTGTTATTTGATGATTTTCGAACGAATTTGATTTGATCTGCATTTCCGTCGGAAATCACTAGTTTTTTTAGATTAAACCTCCCCCCACACCCAACAATCATTACGGAAATCGTTGGATTTTTTTTGCAAATAAATCGCAAATAAAATATCAACCATCTAACCTAACCTCCACTTTGTTCATGCCCCCACATCTTCCCTTAAATGCGCTGTAGACGCTTAAGAAGAGAAGACGGAGGTAAGAAGTAATGCGTGAGGGGGTGTCAAACTCCGCCAAAAGTGAACAAGACAGGGCGAAACTTGTGACTGAGCGAATGTGATAATATTGGAAAATTAATAACTCGGTTATCCTTAATTTCTGGTGGAAATATAATGGAAGAAAAATGTGCCAGCTCTTGAACACCTGGAGATAACCGAGAGTAAAATAAGAAAGGTGATTAAAAAATTGAAAAGACATAAGTCTCCCGGTCCAGATGGGTTACATCCAAGAGTCATTAAGGAGATGATGGAGGAACTACTTCAGCCTCTGAGGATCTTGTTTGAAAGCTCTTTTCAAGAAGGAAATATATTCGAGGACTGGTGTATTGCATATATCACAGCTATCTATAAGAAGGGAAGTAAAAGTGAACCAGGAAACTACAGGCCAGTCAGTCTAACTAGTGTAATCTGCAAATTAATGGAGTCAATATTATGGGAAGAGATGATATCCCCCTCCCATATCCCATAGTAATAACAGCGAAAGAAAGACCTGTGCAAGACTATAAATTCACCGAAGTTGAGGTTATTTTGTAGTTTCGGCTAATACAATATACGTCTGGTGACCATCAGCGGTTCGGTAATTATGGAGGGTGTTTTTAGACACAAGTTTTGTACTCTGATTACTTTCACGTCTGTTCATATTCTTTGGCAAATGCTAAGTTTTCAAGATATAGGCGAGTTAAGATAGCTGGGTGTGCCCATTTCGTCACCACTTTTTTTTTTTTTATCCGTTTCATCATCGCGATCATTCTCATCACCATTTCAAGGGCTTAGGACTTTCATTGTGTATTCACTGAAGCTGTGAAGACGTAATGGCTGGTTTACCATCTTTGTGTACATACTGTTACGACCCTCCTTTTTTCAGGAGCAGTATATATCTCGCAAGTGTTGTCAAATTACCACTGGCTGTCCTGTCAGTCTCCGGTAATTTCCCAACGATCGGTATCAGTGTACAGACAAACAACCAGGGGTGCAGTGCTGCCGGAGCTCACCGGAGCGCCACTCCGGCATCTCTGTTTTGTTCAATCAATCAATATTGCCGACTCCTTGTTCCCTCCCGGGAACTCCCCAACAGGGGGTGGCCATGACGGAAATGTATCCAGGCCATTTTATCCATGCACACCTCACTTGCTCTCTCAAACACTCTTCCTCCCCTTCCTGCTCTCTCCTCAACAAACTCTCTAACTCTTTTATCCAAGGTGGCAATTGGTCTACCCCTCCCAACATTCCCCTCTCTCTTGCTATCATAAACTTTTTTTGTCAGCCTGTCTTCATGCATCCTTGGCACATGTCCATACCACCTTAGTGTATTCCTCTTCATCCACTCCACCACACCACACTTCACACATGAAGTTATAGTAAGCTCTATATGTTACTGTAAATCGATATCAATAAAGCAATCAACTTTATTTTGCATTAATAATACATATACAAAACCGAATATATCCTCATATAATTAATCTCTCCTTCAGATCAGCTTACATTTTATGTCTTATCAATATTGTAGAAAGACTTTGGTAACAGGTGCACTTCTAAACACTTTAAAACAGAACTTTTTCAAAAGTAGTTATGTACAGTATTTCCTCGCATAAGAGCTATAGATATGTGACCAATATCGAAAGGATGAGCACATTTGACGATATGTACTACTAGATCAAATATTATATTTGAGGCTTACAGTAATAAGTAAATTATAACAAAAAGAATGATGCAATACATTCCAGAAAATTCTTACTTATTTAATACATAAATTTATACACGGAAATTTCACAAAATTTGCCCAAATAACTGTTGCTTGGGATAGAAAATAATCAAAACACCTAGTTTACAAAATTGTAATATCAGTACAAAATTATGCTACAGCATAACAATACATTGAATCATGCAAGTATCTCGCAAAGACATTTTATTAAAGACGAAAATAAAGAATACCTGTACCTGTATAAAGGTTATTACTCATGTAAGCATCTCACTAAAACAATTTATTAAAGACTTAAACGATACAAAAATAAAAACATTGTTAATATGTCTGTACAGTATTTGTTTTGTATTTTGTTTATTTACCATTGTTTTAATAGTTTTCTTTATTAAATAATTAATACTGTATTCATGTACAGTATAATAATAACAATAATTCTTGAGTCATCTGTATATATGTGTAATTTCTATTCGTGTAAAATAATAACTAACGGTCTGTTAGTGGTGACGAAATGGATTTGATATTGGTGACAAAATGGATTTCTTTTATGATGAAATGGGGTTTTTGGTGACGAAATGGGGTGTATCCAAGATAGCATCTTTCAGTCGCTTCATAAACTGTGATGCGGCAGATGTAAGCAATGTACTGTGACTCAGCGGTTTGGTAAAGGCGGTGGCACACTGGGCACTTTCTTTGCTGGCCTGCAAGGACTCAACTATAGTAACTGGATCCATGGCGAACCTCGTCTAGACGCATTGTTCTTGTTTTCATTGTGTTGGGCAGACATGCCAACAAAACATCTCAGTGTGACGCAAACGTCTTTATCTTGCTGGCTGGACCGTATTTGCCCAACATGTTGGGAGGAAAAGTGCCCAGTGTGCTGCTGCCTTTATTGTGAGGGAGGTGGCTGTCAGTAGTTCGGTAATTATAAGGGTGTTTTTAGACAGTTTTGTAAGCTGATTACTTTCAGTTATATTAAATTTTTTGTGTAGCTAAATGCTTAGTTTCAAGATATAGGTTAGGTTGGGATTTTGTAGGTTTGGTTAGATTAGCACACAATTTCAGCCATTTTTATATTTTTTCCCAACAATACAGTACTATCCCCTAATGAAATCAGTGAAATCTGGGTATTTTTAAGTCCATTTTCAATGAAAACAGCAGACAGTCATTATCCAAATAATTACCGTAGTTTCGACCATCCGTGACTCGTGTTGAGCATTGTGTTTTTTCGATGGTTTAGACAATTTTAAGATACTTTACTTTTATGCCATTTCCCGCGCTGATGACCGAAGATTACCTAACCTAACCTCCTAACAGAGGGCTTCGCCCCCCTGGCTCCCCCGATATATTTAAGTCATTTGCAAGGGAAACATCATCGAAGAAAAGAGTCTTAAAATTTGTCTAAATGACCGAAAAAACATTGCTCAACTTGAGAGCAGTGGTTGGTCGAAATTACAAATTGGCCGAAGTTGATTTTCCTTTATAGGTCCTAATTTACTTACAAAGTGTGGTAGTTAAAGTTGAGGGTTGCCACTTGATAATGGTGTGCTACTAAAGGAGAGATCCAGGTTAAATAGCTTCTTAATGAAAAATATCGATAATACTCTGGAACACTGACTCCTTAAGACCAATAACTGTATGCAAATTTGTGTATTTCTGGATGCCTGAACTAATGTAACTTGCTGGTTATCATAAGTCAGTGTTCCAGAGTACTGTACAGGTATTATGTTTTTCTGGCTGTTTTTGATGTGTTTTGAACAACTTCTGGGGCCAGTTAGGATGTTAGGTTATATAATTTTAGGTCATTTGTGAGGGAAAAATCATAGAAGAAAGGTGTCTGAAAATTGTCTAAACCAGCTTATGAAGTATTTTTCATAAAAAAATTCTGTGGTTGGTCAAAACCATAAATTGACCAAAATTAATATGAAAAATAGGTTTATATAGTGATATACATTGTGTTTCATACGAATTTGACCTTCATTCCAGCAGAAATAAGTAGTTAAGGTGATATTCCTCCCCATTACCAACATTGAGGGGTAAGCCCATGCAAAAATGACTCAAATATCTGTGTATTTCAATTTAACCTAACCAGAGAAATCAGAAGGCATTGACTTGATCCCCTAATGTGTAAACCTAACCTTATCTTAATTAGCATATGAAGGAGGAATTTGACAATACAGACAGTCTGAATTTCACCTTGGACACTTTACTGATCCAAGGAGAGCAAATGAGATCTAAAAATGTCAACAGCTGCGGCTTTGTTCTCAAATACTTGTTGAATTACACGCCAGTCTCCCAACAAGCAACCTTCACAGAGACACACCATATTGCAACTATGCAATTCAAATTAGAGCGTAAGCATGCTGATGAGTATCACGTGACATAGACACTTCTACTGATTGGCTGAGTAAGAAGTAAACATTGTACAATGCTTGCTGTGAGCCTGTATTTTTTAAATATAATAGAAGTCAAAATAAGTAAAAAGAAAAAACTATAAATTTCTGATGGGATTGCTTTAGAGTATTAACCCAAATTGATTTTATTCCACTGAGTGTTTTTTGGCAAATGCTTAGTTTGGGAGTTTTTTTTATTATAAAGCTACGAGAATTCATACAACTTTGGCAGTTATCCAGTTTGCTGGAGTACATTTATTGTTTGCTTCATGTGATATACACATGATTAGTCTCCACCATCAGTTAAATAAGGTAAGGTTTGCTAAAGTTAGATTAAATAAAGTTAGGACAGGTTTCCCTAGATTTTGTTGGTTCACTTGTTTGCGTAATTTTGCCCCACAATTTCTCTTGACTTCAAGCCCTGCCCATTTTTGCATACAGTACATTGTTGTTGGTAATGGTAGTAGGTGATATCACCATAAATATTGTATCTCTCTTATTATTAATTTGCCCAAGTAATGAATATGAAATTCTTTCGACACATCGGAACATAATTATAGTGTATGTACTGTACAGGAAAAATATAATTTCATCCAAAAAGTGGTTGGCAGTACTAAAACAAATATTGAGCAAACTTATTTCTTATGTGAATTAAGACTCAAATTGGGTAAAGGAATAAAAAAATTTGTTTTAGTAAATAGTCTAGACAAGTTGTGTGCCTTAGCTACCACAGAACATAAATGCTTTTTTACTTCATAAAATTTAAGAAATATGCACAAGAAATGAGATTTAATGTGTGAAATGTGAAACTTGACGATTTGCTATTTGATCACCATCTTCTGTAAATAAAAAACAAATCTTCAAGAACTACAACAATCTCTTGCCCTTCACAGGTCATGGTCAAGCATTCCTCCAAAAGCAAGCCATAAAGCAGCAGTATTTTCGCCAGCAAAAGAGAGAGGAGGAGAAGCGTCGCAAAAAACTTCATCATATGCAGCTGAGTAAAGGAGATGGTAAGTTCTAAATAAACAGTAATTGTATAGAAATTAATATGCTAGCTTATAATAACTTATCATTAGAGTACAGTTAAACCCAAATTTACAAATCAGAGGACTACTTTTTTTTTCCTGTTCTATGATATATAATTTGTCAAGTAAAGGTGTAGAGTCGTAAGAGAAAATATAGAATTTGTAAGTGAAGAAAAGTTTGGGGGTGTGGAGAATATAATCTACTGGCATACAAACATTTTGCATTTGTTTCTCTCCAGACTTTTTTTCTGCTACTGGCTTTAAGGCACATAAATTTATTTAAGTTTTTAATAATATGAAGCCAACCCTCAGTGAAATCACAATGCTGTGGAATTTTAAGTTTTTTATATACTGTAGACTGTCCTTGTTCCAGTTTTACATTTTTTTTTTTTACACTTTAAAATTTATTATAAGCACTGTTAAACTAAGTTCTATCACTTGTATATATGTTTGAGGGCACTGTGAAAGCAAAGTAAGATCATAATTAAACAAGGAGTACAGATCACAGGGGTCCCTGACTTACGAATGCCTGCTGATACGAATGATGTCCCATAATGTCAATTATTTGAAAAATCCTACATAAGTACAACTGGTTTATAGTATTTATGTACGGTGACAAGTTTGTGTGGAGTAGAGGGGAGGCGGCACATGGGGAGTGATGCATCACGCCCAGCCACACCTTGAGGGAGCGTCAGTACACTTCACCCTCACCTCAGTAACGTGCGTGATCAAGTGCAAACTGTCGTTTTTTGCTTATTAACTCTCTTTTTCGGCCCTTATCATGGCTCTTAAACACAAACCTGATGCAAGTGATAGTAGTGCATCCAAGAAAAGGAAAATAATTACAATGGAAGTGAAAGTTTATGTATTTAATGTTCTGAGAAATGGCGAAACACCCTCGGTTAAAACGTTGGGTTTCAGTCGGTTATCGGTCTGGACAAACAGAAAATTCTTGAAGATGTAAAAGGGTCTACACCAATGCACTCAACTGTGATAACAAAACCAAGAAATGGATTGTTTAATGAAATGGAAAGATTGTTAGTGATATGGGTGGAAGATCAAAATCAATGGGATTTGCCTCTAAGTCTAGCCTTGATTCAGTAAAAAGTGATAAGCTTGTTGGTTAAACATGGTGGTGAAAGTGATGGGGGAAGATTTTGTTGCTAGTAGGGGCTGGTTTAACTGGTTCAAGGTAAGAGCAATTGGTGTTTGGAAAAAACACTGCCCACAGTTTGTCCACGATTTCAGGGGCTTTGAAAATGATGTTGGGGAAGTGTCACAGACAGTGGTAGATGTTGGGAACCAACTCTAGCTTGATATTCATGAGGATGATGTCACACAGTTGCTTTTGTCTCCTGAATGAACTGGAGAAGCAAATTTTGTCAGAAGATGTTGAGGAAGCTGAAAGTCCAGAACCAAAGGGATTCATTCCAAAGGAATTGGCAGAAGGTTTCAGGCTTATTGAAGAAAGATTGTTTAAATTTCAACAGCAAGATTCCCCCAGATTCATAGAGGTATTCCTGAATATCTGTGATGCAACAGAGAGATTTCTGATGAAAAGAAGAAAGTTTCAGTTCAACCAACCCAATAAAGCCTCTGTCACTCCTACAAATGGTCATCTCTACATGCAAGCCAGTCCCAGGTTTCAGTATAAGTGTTCAACTTAAATTTTTAGTTTCCTTTAATGTATTTTGTCATTCAATTTCTTCTTTTCTCTTCAATTAAGTGATTTGAGATACATAAAAGGACTTAGGCTATGATATATATATATATATACACACAGTATATATATATATATATATATATATATATATAGACTTACAACTAGACTTAAATCCATTGCGTACTAACCCTGCTGACCGTCGTCAGTGAGACATAAGACTCACGACCCGTCGTGAAAAATATTTTCAAATGACTATATTTCTATGCAACGCTTCTGTCCGGGCGAGAGGGTGTGGCGTCTCGGTCCTTCATGGGTACACTCACTCAGTGGAGCTTTGTTTGTGTTTGGCTATCGATTATCCTATACTGATCAGCGCTTGTGAACTTTCGTTATTATCATATTTAATTGACTTTATAATGACTGAAGCGTAAAAGTGAGAGTGCTGGTGGTGTTCCAAGAAAGGAGACAGGCAATTACTTTTGAGATGAGAATGAAGATAATAACACAGCATGAGAATGGAAAAAACAGTAGCAATCTGCATTCGACCTGCATATTATATCCACTATTCTGAAGGACAAGGGTATTAGGTGAAGTAGTGAAAGGAACAACACCTATAAAGGAACTATAATATCAAAAGAAGACAAGGTCTATTAATGTTATGGAAAATTATTGGTGATATTGATGAAGACCAGATACAGAAGGTGACCCTTAAGCCTTTCAACCAACAGGCTAAAGCAAGCCTGTTCCAAAGCCTGAAGGAGCAGGCAGAGATGGATGTGATCAAACCTTTACAGGAAGTCATGGGTGGTTTGATAGATTTAAGCCTTTACAGTCCCACAATGTTAAGGTGGTGGAGGGCAGCTAGTGCCGATGTTGGTGCTGCCAAGCTTTGGAGGAGTTAGATGATGTGATTGTGGAGGGTTTTGCCTGAGCAAATATTCAATGTGGATGAGATCGTTATTGTGGGCGCACTGGCGGACATACATCACAAGAAAACAATGCCAGTTCAAGGCATTCATGGACAAATTACTTCTGTTGGGGAATGTTGTGTTTAAATACAGCTTCCTTCATGATCTATCATTCAGAGAACCGGGCTTTAAGCGTCAGCAAGCTACACTGCCAGTGTTTTATTGCGTAACAAAGCTGGGGTACCCTAGTACTGTTTGAGGATTGGTTCAGGACTTGTTTCATTCCACAGCCAAGGGTATTGTCTGCAACAACAGATTCCATTCAGATTTTACTGATTTTTGGATAATGCTCGGGACACCCACCACCCTGGACGACATGCCTGATGTTGGTGAGTGGCATTCCACCTAACTACCTCTATCATCAACCCGGATCAAGGTGCTACACTTGCTAAAGCGTGTTATTTCGCACGACCTCTCAGGCTGTTGCTATGCTGAATGTGAGAAAATGTCAGACAGTTATGGAAGGGTACAACATTTTTCATGTAAAGAACATTGAGTGCAGCATGGGATCAGGTTACAAAACATTGCATGAATGGAATATGGAAAAATCTGAAAAGATATGTGCACAGTTTCAAGTTTAATGAAATGAAGTTATTTCGGATATTAGTAACAAGATAGTGGAGTTATGTAAACAGCTGGAGTTAGAAATTGATACTGAAGATGTTGGACTAGTTGGTTTGAAAGTGTAGCAGAAGAGGCTCAGTAACGAGGATCTTATTGAACAGATGCAGAAAAATTGCAGGAAAGAGAGAAAAATGTAGAAGAAGAACCTACACCCCCAAAAAACAGTGACAATATGAGAGAGCATTTGCTACAATGTAAAGGAATGCAAATGCTTGATGAGCATGGATCAAAATTATAGCGATGTCAAAGTTGACAGAATGATCCAAGATGCAACTTGCAGAGAAATTCATGAAAAGAAAAACCAAACTGTGCAGTCTAAATTGGACATCTATTTCAAGAAGTCCCCAGTGCTGTCTCCTCCACTACCAGTGCTGCCTCTTCCTCCCTCAAGATGAACCAATACCTTCAACCAGCAAGTCACAGCAATAAACTAGTCTGAAGAAAGCCATTGATGCCCCACCCAGCCCTGTCTCCCTGTTCTCACATACACGAGGTTTAGCATACACGATTCGCAAATACGTGGATTGCCCCGGCCGAGTGAATATTCTGTACATTGAAGTAATTAGCAGGTTGAATGCTGGTGAATCAAGACACCGCCCGGCCACCCCACACACCCTGGCCACCCTGGCGCCCTCACTCAGTCGTCTCGCAACCACGCTTGTGTTAACATCAAGCATTGTAGGTCGTACCCTGATTTTTTTTTACCAAAAAATTAATTTATGTTATGCCTTGATGATAAGGTCACCCAAGTTTTGAGATTTGAACAACAAAACCTCAGAAAAAACACTCTCTATGTCCTATAAATCGAAAGTCGCTATGCCTGAAACACAGAGTGCCGAAGGCAAATTGTTTACCATTTATTATTACGACACTTTTACACTGAACGGGGGTAGTTTCAACAAAAATATTGTATATTTCCTTCAAGTATTTATTCAAGTCAATTAGGAGGAATAATATTATTGTAATACAACAGTTTTTACTGAAATCGTACTGTGTAGCTAATTAATGTACAACAATTTTATCTCTTGAGCAAAATATATGACGTTTATATTGGCTGTCTTGCAATGATTCCAAGCAATGCAAATTATAATCTCAACTTTGGTCTGAGATATTATATAAGATAAAACTGTAAGTCTAAATAAACCCCTGCTGAGTAGATGGGGGAGGAGGAGGGACGGAGCCAGCCAGCCAGCTAGGGGTGGGGGGTTGGGCGATATGTTTGGCTAGTTTGAGCCGAAGGTCTTTGTGTGTTTATTTAACAGTCCTGGCCACGCCTCCCATTTTAAAAATGCCAGTGAAATGACCTGGGAGAATATAATTAACATTGGTGGATTCTGTAGACACGATTAATTTGAATAGTAACATGCTCTAATTTGCACTGGACATAACAATTTTAGTGACATAAGAAATTAGTACATGAATTCCAGCTTTGCATTTAAGGTCATTTATTTCTTTAGTGCGGTGTATGTAAATGATGAAAATATATGAAGAAATTTATGTAAATCTACCCAAAATACAGTTGAAAACTTTATATTATATTATAAAATGTACTACACAGTATTGTACACTAATGTGCTACATTTTTATATTTTGAGTAAAATATATGATTTTTATGGTTCAAATTATTGGTTGTCTTGCAAGGATTCCAGCAATGCAAATTATAATTTCCTAATCTTTAGTCTGAGATATTATATGTAAAATAATTTTAAAGAATAAAGTTATCACCAATCTTTGTTGGGAACACAAGGAGGGGAGGTTAATGAGCTAGGGGGGGAACAGGGGGAGGTGAAGTGAGGTGACAGAGTGTGGTGTTTGTTTTTTATTTGAGATAAGATGTATATGGCCCTGAATGCCTATGTGTGTTTATTTATCATTACTTCAGAGTGACTAAGCTCTTTCCATAATTTGTCACCCAAATCGACTCTGGGTAATTCTACATTGCTGGGATTCTTGTAAGATAGTGATTATTTGAATACCTGTATAAACAATCTATATTTGTACAGATATGTAATAATTCTAAGTAATTGTAATTTGTATTTGTACAGCAGGTACAGGTTTGTTCCATGGTAAAAATCTTTTTGGAACAAATCTAAAGAAAGCCAAAGTCATTGTTTTCTATTATGACTTTATCCCACTTTCCACTGTATGTCACACTTCCAGCAAAAATATTACATTTCCATATGTATTTGAGAATACAGTGGTCCTCGGTTAACGTAACACAATCCGTTTCAGCAGGTTGTTCTTTGTTAACCTAAACCATTGTTTCAATGGGTTTGGGTAATTGGGTTCCAGTCACCGAAAATTGCCTAAATTCAACAAAAATGTAGTAGAAAAGCTAATCCTACTTTGAGGTGTGTATAGAAGGCTCCTGGATGATGATGATGATGGATGATGATGATGATGGGAATTAGAATGGGGGTGGAGGAGAAGGAAGAAGAGAAGGCATTGGGTGGAAGAGAAGTCACCCCATGGCACCATTTCACCCATAAAATTTAGTTCTCTTAGTGGTTTAAGATTGTTTTTTTAAATCAACACTGCACTGCATTATGAGTATTGTCAAATGTGTGTAAATATTTCAAAATGACCACACTTGCTTGGAAACACAGAAAAAAGCATTATTGAAGAGAGTCTCAAGCAAGATGTTACTCCAGGAAAACAGAGAGACTAACGCTTGTTTGCTGTGTTAAGAGGCTGGGATGCCATATTAAAACTAGTCACTTTGATTTCAATTATGTTCACAATTGTTAAATGACTAAAAAATTGAATATTAAACTTTAAAATTATTGAATAGTATAAACTTCTCTTGATATTTACTAAAATAGTAAGAAATTTAAGCCCCAGAACCGACAATGTATTACATGACTAATACTAAAGCTGGTTGACTGGGCCAGTGCAAGCTAAAACATGTTGAGGTTGAAACAGAAGAAATTGCTAATCCCTAATTTTTTTTTTTTTAACCGACTTAAGAATCTTATGGAGGCAGTTCGTTAACCGGTGGCGTCAAACAACTGGACCACTGTACAGTAGTATTCATTCAGTCACAGTTATGTAAAGATACTTGTGATGTAATATTTTATTTAGGTGTTTGAAAATGTTGATCGTAGTTTTTTTTCAAATTTAATTAACAAAGATTGATGTTTCAAGGTAATGAATTTAAATATTTATAGTATATGATTAAATAAACTTAAAAATGAATATTTTTGTTTTACATCGTCTCTGTGTATACCATATCATGCATTTGGTTACTTTGGTTGCTATGATGATGAAGAGATTCTGTTACTGCAAAATTACAGCTGGTGTTGTGCTCATTGCAGTTACTGGAATATTTTTCATCCTAACTAAAATGGTTACCTTTTAGGAGGTCACCCCAATTTTTGCAATATAATTTGGTCTAAAACCACCACAGTCATGTAACAAGGACATGGGGGGAGGGGGGGGGGTAAAAGGATACGGATTTTTACATTCACGGTATTCTGTTACTCTAAACCCAGCGAGCAGCAGGCTTACTATATAGCATATATATATATATATATATATATATATATATATATATATATATATATATATATATATATATATATATATATATATATATATATATATATATATATATATATATATATATATATATATATATATATTTATATATATATATATATATATATATATATATATTTATATATATATATATATATATATATATATATATATAGTATATATATATATATATATATATAGTTATATATATATATATATATATATATATATATATATATATATATATATATATATATATATATATATATATATATATATATATATATATATAATATATAATATATATATATATATATATTTATATATATATATATATATATATATATATATATACAGTAAGTTCTGCTATAACGGTTTTGATAATCTAATTTGTTCTAACGCGATTTATGAATTAGTAACTATATTTGTATAACGTTAACGCTTGTTTGCTATAACGATTTTGCTTACTATTTCTCCAATTTTGTGGTATTAACTGTGAATATTATTATTATTATCCAATTGGGAACTGGTATCAGATTCAGTCAAGGATCCAATTTGTATGTTATAGTTCGTCCAGTGTGTTTATTTAAATAACTTGTACAAGCATAATAATCAAAGGATTTAGCGCAGTTCATAAACCTTAACACAGCAAGTTCAGCAAGAGATACTGGAGAGGCAGAATTTAAATTTTACTTAATTTTTCCAATGTAATGCCTCACAAAGACAATATGTTCTCAGCTTTAGTGTAGAAACATTACGTACTAAGGCTACTGTCTCCTTAAATGTATGTTCAACTCAATGATACAGAAAATAAGGATGAATGTGGGCTTCAGAGCCATAAAGAATATAATACCCAGGATATAAATCAGCTACTGTAAAGTCTCATTTTAATCATGAAACAATGTAAAGAAAGATTTACTTTTAGTTAATCATTTGGAAGCAAGTTGGCTACTTTTAAAACAACTTTCCAAAGTATGTCAATTTTCCCAGTATGAACCTGAAGAAGCAGTTGAA